AAAAAAAAAAAAAAAAAAAAAAAATTTGTCATAGGTTTGATTCCTCCCTGCGTTTGTATAAAAAAAGTAAATAGATTTGCCAAAAAAAAACCCAAATGTTCCTGAAAATTTAAAAAATAAAGATCTTTTTTTTTTTGGGGGTGTGTTTTCTATCTGGTACATAACAACCACAATTGAACAATTGAGTTTTGCGTTTGCTACCACCCGTTTCGGTTGGGGGGTCCTATTGACCCGAGAGTAGGGGGCGTGCTTTGTGGCACCACATCTCACTTGACAAGGCTTGGCTCAAACAATCAAATCACTTTAATGTCCTACTTAGTAACAAGCCTACCACACTGCTAGGCTTGGCCATCTAATTAGAATATAGAGCTTTTGAACTTCATTTCCATTGCAAAAGTAACTATATAAATTCAGCTTTACAAATTTTAAACAAAGTTATGTGGTTATGTTGAGTGAATTTGTGGGTACAAATACACATCTCAAACGAAAACTGCTTATCAAAAAAGTTTTTCTATTTAAATCCCGCACTTTTTTTTGTTCACCATATATTCTAAGTTCACCTCAATTTGTAATTCAAAATTTCACAATTTCTAAAAAAACCCCATTATCTTCCCAAACTACCCCTAAATACATACCCAGCAGACCAAAAAAAAAAAAAAATAAAAACACTGTTGTCAACTATTCAATATATATATATTTTGGTCTTTATAAAAACATATTATGATCAAACAATATAATATTAGTCAATGATGTCATATGCAAAGCAATGTGTTCTTCAATTTTTTTTTTATAAGAGAAACGATGTATTGATAACAAACATAAATAAAACTTAAGAGCTTAATTGACGACCCAAGAAATAATCTCACATTACATACCTTAATTGACAATCCACAAGCCATTATTTGCATACCGTATTTAGGGTTTGTGAAGAGAATATGAGAGTGTAGCAGGTTTTTTGGATTGAAAGAGAAGAATATGTTGTGCTTTCTCTTTTTTCAAGTTGAATGAAATTAGAGTTCTTGACCCAAAAAAGAAAGAAAGTAATATGACAATAGAGTGTAAAAGAGTTTGTGTTTTTCTAAAACTTAATATGAAAAGTTGTGTTGTGTGTGGGGTGTGTGTATAGATATACCAGGGTTAAGTATTAAGTTAGATGATTTTTTTGTCTTTTTATACAATAATAAAACTTAAAAGCTTAATGATTTATTGGGTCAACAAGAAAAAGTTTGGGGAAAAACACTATCAAAATATACCAGAGCTGCAATTGCTCTGCTTCTAATTTTGTTTCTAGACAACAGCACAAAAGAGGACTGCAGAGAGCAGAGAAGAAGCAAAATGGAGAAAACGAGGTACAAGAGGCTATCTGGAAGTCAAAACCTAAGACAACAGCTGGTATTGTCTACATTCACCTTCACGCCCATTCAAATTCACGACATACGAACCAACGAGACATGGCCTGGTCTCCGCAAGTACGAGGTCTCCCTCCTCAAGTTGCTCGCTTTGGTCTGCCATGGCTGTTCTTTCGAAATCAACGACACTGGTACCCAGCAGCCCTCCCCAAACACTAATTTTTTTCATGCATTATATTATATAGATATATATGTATGTATAGTTCTGAGTGCTACTTTTGTTCTGTGTGTTTGGGTAGGCACTGGATTTAAGTTCAAGCCAGGGATAGTGATGGGTGGGTCGAAACTGGAACACGACTGTGGTTTTGCAGAGAGCAGAGAGCAGAGAAGAAGCAAAATGGAGAAAACGAGGTACAAGAGGCTATCTGGAAGTCAAAACCTAAGACAACAGCTTGTATTGTCTACATTCACCTTCACGCCCATTCAAATTCACGACATACGAACCAACGAGACATGGCCTGGTCTCCGCAAGTACGAGGTCTCCCTCCTCAAGTTGCTCGCTTTGGTCTGCCATGGCTGTTCTTTCGAAATCAACGACACTGGTACCCAGCAGCCCTCCCCAAACACTAATTTTTTTCATGCATTATATTATATAGATATATATGTATGTATAGTTCTGAGTGCTACTTTTGTTCTGTGTGTTTGGGTAGGCACTGGATTTAAGTTCAAGCCAGGGATAGTGATGGGTGGGTCGAAACTGGAACACGACTGTGGTTTTGAGCGGTCTATTGGGTATTTCTTGGAGCCCTTGATTTTGATTGGCCTCTTTGCCAAGAAACCCATTACCATTACGCTTAAAGGTAGCCACTTTTTTCACTGCTAATTCTGAACCTTGTTGCTTCATCATTGCTATGACTTTGAAAACTGCATATTTGTAACTAGTTCTAAACTTTGGCATTTGGTAATGACATAGTTTTGGTAATATTAAGAATTCAGTTTGTTTGTTTTTTTAGCAATCAGTTTGTTTGAACAATTACAATTTTACAATGTAGATGGGATTTTAACAATCGGTTCTAGCCAACTAATTTATTGAACGCTTACAATTTTACAAACCCAACTATCTAGTTCTAGCATAGATGTAATCTAACTATCAAAGTACCAATTATAAATAAAGTATAATAAAAAGGCCTAACCCTATTGATTTTGGGACCAGACCATATTGCATTTGTGCATGTCGATTTGAGCTTTACAAAGATGCTGCCACTGTAAGTCACTTGAATTTTGTTCTTTCAGGACTTACAAATGATTCCAAGGACCCATCTATTGATACCTTCCGGTCTACTACCTTTCCCATTTTAAAACGCTTTGGAGTTCCCTCAGAAGGATTGGAGCTGGAAATAAAGAGTCGTGGATGCGCTCCTAAAGGCGGTGGTGAAGTCGTTGTGGCAATCCCAGTTGTTCAAAGTCTGACTGTGAGTTTTTGAGACTTATGGGTAGTCTTTTTTTCTTCATTTTTGTTGGGTTTTGTTTTATATGTTTTGCTCTACAGGGAGTAACATGGACTGATGAGGGGTTGGTTAAGAGGATTAGGGGTGTTACATTCTCAATGAGAGTGTCCGTGCAGTCTGAAAATACAATGGTACATGCAGCTCGAGGAGTCTTTCATCCCTTCCTTCCAGATGTTCACATATTTACTGACCATAGAGCTGGCCCACAAGCTGGAGAGTATGTTTTCAATCCAGATATTGTTAATTTTTCTAATGTCAGGATATATTTGATGGAATTGTGAATGTGTATTTTTTTTTGTTGAGGTTTATGCTATTTAAGTACACTTCCACTCATATAGACAACAATGACTTTATGGCAGGTCACATGGTTATGGAATGTCAATAGTTGCGGAAACAACCTCTGGCTGCTATATCTCCGCTGATACAACTATTTCTCATTCACGAGGGGAACACATATCTGAAGTTGACTATGAGAAGAAAGAGCTGGTGCCTCCAAAGGATGTTGGTTTGAAAATTGCTTCTGTTCTGCTTGGGGAGATTGGGCAGGGCGGAGTGGTAGATTCAAATCACCAGGTTAGTTATTTCATGTTTTGTGCTCCTTCCCTACCGACTTAATTCTCGTACTTTCTCATTTTTATTGATTTTAGAACTTCACACCATAAGACAGAAATTAAGGAAGTGTGCACTAAAACAGGAAAATGATTTCTGGAAATGGATGAAATGAAGGGAAAAGTTGTCCTAGATGGAAGATTTGGCAAATTTTAGTCTAAGGAAGACCCCTGAAATTCCTTTATGATTTTATTAAGGCATGTGCTAGTTATACTTTTGCTATTTCAGTAATCACTCCCATTTGTCAGATGAAGAGAACAACAATAAGGAGTTATTGCTAACCCAAAATCATTTATGATCATTGTTCATGGTCTATGCCTTTCCTCTTGCTATCTATGAAAAAAAGTATTGGTTTGAAAATATTAAAATTGACACTTGTTACTCCAGCCAAACGGATGCAAGAACATAACAAGAACCTTGAGAAAGCATTATCCAAATGAAAATGATTTTGAAATCCTAGCCAAAGTCTTCTGAATCTGTCAAATGAGGACATAGAAGAGATGCTGCTGTGAGGATACAAGCCAAATTTTTTCCATAGTAACAATCAAACATAACCACTAAAATATGAATTGTCTTTTATTGTTTATTCCATGCAGGGCGACTTGGCACACCACACTTTCTATAAGAAATGAATTATGATTGCTATAAAAATGAAATGTTAGAGTAGAAATATATTATTTGAATATGGGTGCCTCTCGCCTCCTCCCTTTTTATGATTTATGTTTGTCTTCTGATAGTGAGTTTGCTGCCATTTGGGTTTGTAGGGTTTGTTGTTTCTTCTTTGTGCATTATGTCCCCAAGATGTTTCAAAAGTTCGGGTCGGAAAGCTCTCTCCTTATGGGATAGATACACTCAGAAACATCAATGATTTTCTCGGAGTTAAATTTGTCATTATGCCATGTGCATCCACAAGTACTGTTCTTCTCAAGTGTGTGGGCTGTGGTTTGAGGAACCTATCTAGAAAGATTTTGTGATAGTCAAAATACAAGGTATATGATTTTCTATATATCAAGAAGTATGTTTCATTATGCTAAAGTATTGTCAAAAGCCCTCCCATGCATCAATCGTGGAAGATTGCAACTTCATGTCTTTGTACATCTTTTGCTATGTAGTCTGATCACATAAACTCCAGTTAAGAAGTAGGAGTTTTTGCAATTTTTAACACATTAGTTCAGATTTTTTCGAATATATATGAAGGTTAATGTACACATTAGTAACATATAATCAACGTACACATGGTTTCTTGGGTGCCTATTTAGAGGTTAATGTTGAGATGTGTATTGATTTTTCATGTTTAGCAAATGTTTGGATTTAGAAGCTTAAAATGGTGCAAGGTGTCCATTTAATATCTAATTTTGTTTTCAAAGTTAAATGTGGTTTAATAATATTGACATGTGTACGGCGGTGCTTCAAGTGTTGAAGGAGAAAACATCGACTAGGAAGTCGAAGAGGATAACTATACATAGAGGGGAATGTTGAGATGTGTATTGATTTTTCATGTTTAGCAAATGTTTGGATTTAGAAGCTTAAAATGGTTGCCGAGGTGTCCATTTAATATCTAATTTTGTTTTCAAAGTTAAATGTGGTTTAATAATATTGACATGTGTACGGCGGTGCTTCAAGTGTTGAAGGAGAAAACATCGACTAGGAAGTCGAAGAGGATAACTATACATAGAGGGGTGCTTTATTCGCACTCCTGTAAACTGTTTAGACATTTCCACTGGAGTGCGAACAGAGCTCCCCTTATCTATGACAATAAGGAGCTATCAACATATTGGTGGACTAGGAAGCATAAATTAGGCATAAGCACCCATTGCGAATTTCCTGAAAAAAATGTTTGCTAGTGCTTTGCAAAGCTCCAATACACTTGGGTTGCGAAGACATTGCCCATAAATTCGAAATGACCTATACATCCTTCTCTAGATCCGAGTCCTTATTTATAAAATCTTCAAATTCCTAATTTCTCTGTTTACAATGTCTGTTTAGGTTCCTCATCCGTTGACAGTGTCTGTTTTTGCAGTCATAAACCAACAAAAAATGAAAAATAATATATGGATCCTGTTTATACTCTGTATTTCTTATATATGTCACCTTTGTAGAACTTTCTTGTCCTGAACACCAAAATCAGTGACACAAGAGCACCAAAGAATGTAGCAGCAGCTAAAATTGTGAAAGACAACCGATAACAATGATTTCCAAGGCATGTCAAGTCCTTCACTTGTGATATGACCTATACATCCTTCTCTAGATCTGAGTCCTTATTTATAAAATCTTCAAATTCCTAATTTCTCTGTTTACAATGTCTGTTTAGGTTCCTCATCCGTTGACACTGTCTATTTTTGCAGTCATAAACCAACAAAAAATGAAAAATAATATATGGATCCTGTTTATACTCTGTATTTCTTATATATGTCACCTTTGTAGAACTTTCTTGTCCTGAACACCAAAATCAGTGACACAAGAGCACCAAAGAATGTAGCAGCAGCTAAAATTGTGAAAGACAACCGATAACAATGATTTCCAAGGCATGTCAAGTCCTTCACTTGTGATCTGGTCAAACCTCTCTTTGTTAGCTCTTTCATTGCCTCCTTATCGTAGAGCGCCCCGGTGAGCTTCACATTGAAAAGATAGGACCCTAGTGGACTTGCTATTTGTCCACAATTGAATAATGTAGCAAAGTGCTTAAGACCAAAGAGCTCGGAAATGATTGCGAAAAGTAACGGCAATTGAGCCCCAAAAGAAAACCCTATGATAACCGATGCCACGTAAACTGAACCAGGGACCGGAAATGCAATGAGTAGGAGACCAACACATGATAGAACAAGAGCAAAAGTCATTACTAATGGTCTGGGAATTTTCCACCTGATCAGTAGGCTTTCGGAGATGAACCCAGAAAAGACTCTGCCAAAGTAGTTCCATATGCTAGTTAATGACACAAAAGTTTTTATTGTTTTAGTTGGATACCCCAAAGACTCACCAATTTGCCCCAAGTTGTCTACTGCTGTCAAGCTTGACCCAAGCCCACATAATGTTGAAATGAACAAAATGAGCATGTCTATACTTAAGAGTGCTTGTAAAATGGTATAGTCTTCTCCTCTCGGTGGTTTGTTCCATATGTCAGAAAAACAACCTGGCTCTGGTGTCTCCAATTCTTTCTCTTTCGGCTCATCCTTTTTCTCTTCGATCTCTTGTGGTTTCTCAACTTTGACCTCAGTTGGAGGATCAACAGGCTGTTTCTGTAGGTTCCAGAGGACTAGCTCTTCTCTAATGGAAATGCCAAGAGGGAGAAAGAGCAACAAAACAGCCCCAGTGGCGCTTCCAGCATAGGCAGCATGGGAGAAATTAATATATTTCTGAAGCAGATTCATCACCATGAGAAATACTGCAAGGATAATTGAGATGTAGAGGAAATGGTAAAATACTTTGAGCTCATTGGGTTGCCTAATAACTTTCATGGGTCGAATGGTGTATACAAAAACTATTGACACTGCAGCAGGGAGCCAGGCAATAAGAAGAATCAAGGATTTTGAATCATTTCCATACACTGCCAAGTAAATTTGTGTCAGGATAGCTCCACTAAGCCCAGTAAAACCCTTTAACAGACCAAGCATAACACCTCGGCTCTCTGGGAAATTCTTGACACAAGTGACAAGAGCTCCTGTATTTGCAAAGTTTTGAGAGTTGGCTCCAATGCATATATAAATGCACATCTGCCATACTTTAGGCTTGGGAATTCTGCCAGTGACAGCCAGCCAAATCATGAAGTAGCCTACAAAATTCATGACCGCGCCAATTATGAGCACGAACCAAACTGGGGTTACTTCACCAATTAGGCCGGAGAGGACACCAACGTTTGCACCAAAATCTTTGGAGAAGCCTAGCATGTTGATTTCTGTTTGGTCATAGCCAAGAGTGGACTTGATCTCTTTGGAATAGGTACCATAGAGGTAAGTGGCACCAGCTCCAGCCATAATGAGGAAGGAGGCAAACACACTGAACCATCTTCCTTTCAGCATATACCACGAAAACCTACCTATTTCACTGCATCCCATAGCATTACTACTAGCTTTAGAACTGCTCATTTTTGCCTTGGTCAGGCTAGGACTGTTGCAAGGGAAATTAAGCAATCAAGTGTAATTTTGGGTAGAAATTTAGAACTTTTTCTGTATTGTTTTGTTACAGATGCATTAATATGGAAGAAAAGAGAGAGAGATGGGTTATGATAGAATTTGGGGTTCATATAGTGGAACAGATTCACACAGGGATTTTACAATTGGCAGAAATGTAAGAGACTACCGCCAGCCTCAATGAACAGATAGAGAAGTGGAGCCACACATTGGCTACAAGTAAGGCTAGAGAGGAGGTGGGTGAGTTTGTGTAAGCCGTTGTTTTTGCTTTTCTTTTGAGGCTATTTTTATCAGATTAATATAGTAAGTTTTTTTTAGAGCTATTTTTATACCAGGTTGATTGACATTTGACCAATGTCTAATAAGAGACATTGGTCAAATGCCTCACACAGCAAGAGACAACTCCCCTCACAAAGGGAACTTGACACGTGTCCCTCTCAAAGTTAGAGCGTACTCTGAAACTTCTGATATGATCTTATGTGTTTGTATTAGTATGATGATTGGAGAATGAAACTAAACTTATTTTTTAGAACAATTTTGAAAAGGTAATAAATCTTGTTCATACACTACAAAGATATCAGGAAACAAAACAAACACTAGGAACAGATAGTCAGATGTGTGAAACCAAACAACTTGAAAATGAAAATATAAAAGACAAAGAAGGAAAACTGGCATCCTCACAATGTATCTAATACAAGTATAAGTGGACTAAGCCATCATCAAACACAAGAACCGTATCATCTATATGCTCCCGGATGGAGACTCTTGAGCTGACGTTTAAGAATTAATTGGATACATGCATTATGCATAGTAGTAAGTCTGATCCATCGGGCGCGTCAAGCGGTTCAGTTTGATGGAGGTGGGGAGAAGAATGGAATTGATGGAATAGTTGGGATTGAAGGGATTGTTGTCGGGAATGTAGGCAGTATTGGGTTGGCCGGCAATGGAGGTAGTGTCATCTTTGGGGTTGTGGACAACGTAGGCAATGCTGGTTTTGGCAAAGAAGGGACTTGGGAGCTTGGGAGTGGTTGTAGAGTTGAGTTAGTTGGCAGTGTAGGCAATGTGGCCTTGGGCAGTGTTGGTACTGAGGGCAATGGCGGCAATGTGGCCTTGGGTGGTTTTGGCAATGAGGGCAATGGTGGCAATGCGGCCTTGGGCAGTGTTGGTAATGAGGGTAATGGCGACAATGTGGGCAATGTGGGCAATGTGGCTTGGGCAGAGATGGAATTGTAGGCACAGTCAATGACAGTGGTGGAGCTGCCGGGGTGTCCAAAAGGTGGTGAGCTGCTAGGCTCACATAGGTGTAGCTTGAGAGTCACAACACCAAGGCCAAAGACAAAATGAAGAAAAGCTTGGGAAAGGCCATGATTGAGTAGACTCAGTGGAGGGCAAACGTCTTTGAAATGTTTTTGGTTATGAAGAGCAAGAGAGTCTCCATCGGGTTTTTATAGAGAAAATGTGTGGAAAAACTGCGAGGACTTGGAATTATTGGCATATGAGTTTGATGAGTAGTGGTTGGAAAAGTCCATTAATTCATGCCTTGAGCTAGGCTAAACTTGGAAACAAAATGAAATGAAAAGTTAAAAGAAAAAAATAACCAATGAAAAAGGGAAAATCTATGGTAGATTTTCGGATGGATCGGATTGGAATTAGGGAATTCCAATTCCATTTTAAAAAATTTCGGAACGAAAATTATTTTCCAATTCCATTCCAATTTTTTTTGGAATTTCAACATCAATTGCAATTTGGAATTTTCGGAAATTTTCGGAATTGACATATTTCAATTTTTTTTTGGAAATTCTCGAAAAATCATTGAAAATTTTAAACATGTCAAACGATTTGAAAAATTGACTTGAAAAACTATTACATGCTATTAGGGCTGGCAATGGGTCGTGTTCGTGTCGGGTTCGTGTCGACCCATTTATTTCCCGTGTCAATTTCGGGTCAACCCGCTATGACCCATTTAATAATCGTGCGGATTTCGGGTCGACCCATATATTTCTCGTGCGGGTTTCGAGTCGTGTATCGGGTCGTGTCCGAAATTGCCCCCCCTGCATGCTATCACTTATGAAATAGCTCGTCTATGTCTATTTGGTCATTAAGTCATATCAAATTCAACATAAAACTAGTCATTATGTGTAGTCTAAGCTTGAACCTTCAATATATTTTGAAATTCGGAATTTTCAGAATCTTGATATACTTTTTTATTCCAATTCCAATTGAATTTTTTTTGGAATTTTCAGATGTCGGAATTGATTTGGAGTCGTTTTGGATCAGAATCGGTCAAAATCGGGATTTCCAATCCAATTTGCACCCCTAGGCAAAACAAATTACAGAATGTAGTGCTTGGGCTCAAAGGCAGCCCTAATTTGACGATGAAGCCCTCTCTTTGTGGCTTTGGTATAATTCTTATATTTTCCATCCTTAGACTTCTTATACACGTCATTTTGTAAAACTTTGCTGTTCATGGAGCGAATATGAACGAAGCCAGACCTCCGAAACATATGACGACAGCGTCATAATTGAAAAATGTTGAGATGTGTATTGATTTTTCATGTGCAACATGTGTATATATCCTTATGTAAATTCAGTCTCATCGGAACTGCATTCAATACTATACGCCAGAGAAATAGCAAAATGTGAACTAAAGGTGAACAAGCTGTCAACTCTTAGAAATAGCATAAAATGGAGGGAGGTTTCTCTTAATTTGTGTTAGTTTGGGTAAGTTACTTGCCATGCCATCATTTTTAGAGTTTCTGAGCAATTGGTTTAAACTATGCTGCATTTTAGGAAATTTTTAGATGCCTTGGTCAGAGCTGAAAACTAATTAACAAATTAAAAAATACTTATCAATAATTAATCCCTGCAGATAGGAGAGGCCGAAGAGCAGATGGTTCACGCTTCACCTGACATGACATAATTTTCAGTTTGGTTTTCCCCTGCAATAATTACAAAATAGATAAAATGAACTTGATTTCGAAACATTACCAGATTATTTTCGGAGAACAACTATCTATTGCCTTAGGTATCAAAGAGCCTTTGTCTGATACCAAACTGACATCCTTCAAAAAGATGTTTTGTTTATCTGTTTATTATGGTTTTATGGTGTTGTCATCTTGGACTCTCTAATTTTTTTTTATAGGGTTCTTATCACAAAACTTCTATCAGGTTTGCGAAACTATTTAGTTTTTCATTTATATTTTTTTAACAAGACATGTTGTCCTTGACGTTTTGCACATAAATGTAGCAATTGTCGTCCAATTCCGTTAGAAGTCTATTAGCATGCTGACATGACACACTTGTGAGGCCCACAAATTCAATGATTAAATCAATATAAAATATTAAAATATAAAAAGAAAAAGAAAAGTATGATTAAATGCAAGCAAAAAAATCTTTAAAACGAAATGAAAAGGGAAAACATGCAGCCACCAGCAACTCATCCTCCCACCGCATAAATAAAAAAATTAAAATAAAAAAAAAACCCATCCTCCCACTTCATTACACCCCCCACTGGTCCCTGTTGGGTTCTCGACTCTAATGTGGGAAGATTTCGGAGGAAAATTGGGGGTAGGTACAAGAATTCCCGAATTTTAAAAATTCCCGGTCTAGAACAAGCCACCATATAAGCTAATCCCTTTTTTCCTTTTTAAAGTTTTTATAGGTTTTAAAACGGGGAACATTTGTAGTGCTTTGTTTATGGTCTTCGGCAAATTTCGAATGCTTTGTTTTTCTTTTTTGCGTTTTTGCTCCCTTTTTTTTTAGTTGGAAGTGTTTTTTGTCCTTATTTATCAGCTGTCTAAATTTTTCTTCATTTTCAAAACTGAATTTTAAAAGTATTTTTTTAAACATCTTAAACAATTTTCTTTTGTGTCTGGACCATATTACCACTGCAATAATGATTACAAAAAATTAATGAATTATAATTTTGGACCTAATAACACTTAATAGTTAAAACTTGACTGAAAAATTTGAAATCATGGTAAAATTGCATGACCATATTGTTCCCCCCTCCCAAGACCTGCCCTGGAATAATGGAGGTGGTCTACCATTCCTCGGTATCCACCAGTGTCTCACTGCTGTCACTGATCCGATGATGAAGCCCTCTCTGTCTCTGTGGCTTTTGCCTGCACTTTAAAGCTCTTATATTTTCCATCCTTAAACTTCTTATACACGTCACCCTTGTAAAACTTTGCTGTTCGCCTGGCCAAAACATAGGATGCTAGAGCTCCTAAAACCAAGACAGCCGCCACAATCATAAAAGAACCTCTGAAACATGTCGTTCCTTTGCAAACAAGGTTCCCATTGACGACCCATGTTCAATCTCTTTGCCTCTAAATGGTACATGGGTTGGGTCAGCTTGTTATCGAGAAGGAACCAGCCAAGCGGGGTTGCGAATTGAGTGCAATTCACCAATGTGGCGTAGTACTTGAGGCCAAAGATTTCGGAAGTGATCGTGCAGAGCAGCGTCACCTGTGCGCCATAGGAAAACCCGATGATCACCGTGGCCATAAGGACTCCGAGGCAGGACAGAAGCAGAGCAAAAACATTCATAAGAGGCCTAGGAGTTCCTTTTTGTTTAAGTAGGAGTTCCGAGACAAACCCTGCATACACCTCCCAAAATAGTTCCATATGTTTATTAGTAACTTGATGTTTCCCATTGTATTAAATGGAAGGTCGTTTGAAACGGCGATTTCTGACAGGTTGCCTATGGCTGTTGTGCTTGACGCAAATCCAGTTAGTGATATCATGAATATGAGCAACATGTCAACGCTGAAGATGGCTTACAAGATGGTGTGGTCCTCTCCGATGCGTGGTTTGTTCACGATGCTTGAGGTTGAGAGACATGACGCACCCTTTGCCAGTCCAATATTTTGCATCAAGATATCCTGTTGCGATTGACCTGCATCCGGTAGTACTACTGCTCCCTCTGTAGTACTACCCGCGTTTATCGCAACAGTACGGTTATCAGGCTGTTGCTTGAGGCTCAAGATAAACCTCTCTTCTCGGATGGCAATCAAGAGAGGCAGAGCCAACAGAAACAAAATTACAACGCCGCTTCTGACATAGCCTATTCTTGGGAAGGTGAAGAATCTTTCACACAGTGTTACAATCATGAGAAACACTGCAAGAGACAATTACACATAGAATATATGGAAAAAGACTCAGAGCTCATTGGGCTGCCTTTGAAACTCCACTGGCCTGATTGTGAAGGAGAATGCCAATGCCATTGCAGCTGGGAACCACTCAATTAAAAGAAGGATATGCCTTACGGATTGATCTCCATAGAAGGCCAATGCAAGCTGTGTGATTATCACTCCGCTGAGACCGATCAAACCTTTCAACAAACCGATAACAATGCCTCTCTTTTCTGGGAAGTTTTGGACACAAGTGACTAGAGCTGCTGTGTGTGTAAAGTTCTGTGCATTGTTGCCAACAAATACACAAGCGCATATCTGCCAAAGCTGAAACCTAATTGATCTCCTAGTAACTTCATGCAAAAGGTAGTAGCTGCTAAAGTTCATCACTGCCCCAACCATGAGCAAAAACCAAGATGGGGTTACCTCCGCAATTAGGCCTGCAAAAACTCCAAGGTTGGCACCAAGACGTTTTTAAGTTTTTAAAACGTCGATTACGCTTTGATCAACTTTAAGAGAAACTTTGAGCTCTCTGGTGTACATGTCAAACAAATAAGTTGCACCAGTACGCCTGCCATGATCCATAAACAGGCAAAAACTGTGAACCATCTGCCTCTGACCACATGTGTGATGAATTTGAATTTTTCATCACCACCTCCACCAAATTGAGACATGTCGATCCACCCTTTCTCTTTTTTCGAACTTTCTTGTTAGAGGTAATTGAGAAAAGGGAGAGAGAGATGCAAGGGTGAGTAGTTTGAATATGTATTTATATTGCATGGGGATAAAAGAAAACCAGCAAGAGTTCTAGAACAATTGGTTAAAAGCATGCTCCAAATTAGGAACTGGTTTTCTGTTTGACACAAGTAAGCAGAAACATTGACTTTGTCTTTTTTTCAGTAGACAAGTATTTGACTAGATAAGTTACAAGGTTTGTTTATGGGTTTTAAATGAGTTGCTGGATACTGACGTACGGTTGACATCAGTCTTGTGTGCTATCTAACAAGAAAAACAATCTTAAAAACTAGAGTTCTTCCGATATAAACCCTTACAACTACTATATTCTAGTCATTTACCCACCTATTCATGTCCTTAACTACCTTAATTATAATTAATACTCTCTAGAGTTCTTCCGCACTTGCGAGAGACTTTTTTAAAAAAAATTTAAATTTATTTTAGAATTAAAAAAGATAATGGGTAGTTGTGTTCCATAAAAATAGGATCCATTATTTGATTTTCTTTTCATTTTAATTTTTTTAAATATGAAAAAGTGTGAATTTACCATATTATCCTCATTTAATTAATAATTTCAATTCTTAACGTTTGCATTAACCAATGACATTTTCTAGTATTTTGAATGTTTCACAATTCTTTGCCTTTTGCTTTATATATATAGATTAATACTCTCTATTAATAGCATATCAATCACTCCATTTATTTTGGTTGGCATTCCCTCTACACATGGCCAATCCCTAAAATTTCAAATAAACAAAAATCCCTAAATTACATATCCAATAAATAATGTACCTGTAAAAAAATATAAATATGTATATAATATAGGTACTTTATTTACAAATTAAAAAAAAAATCCATTACTTTGTAATTGAAATTTCTGTAATTTTTTTTTATAAATTAAAAATAGGTACATTATTTATAAATTAAAAATAAGGGTTTTTTTTGTTGTTGCCAGAAAATAGGTACGTTGTGTAATTGAAATTTCTGCACACTTTTCATAAATTAAAAATAGGTACATTCTTTATTTTAAAAAATAGGTATGTTATTTATAGGTACACAAAGTGGGTATATTTACAAAAGATATGTTAAAAATGGGTATATTATTCATTAAAAATAAGGGTGGAAAAAATAGGTACAAATAATAGGTACATTATTAAATGTTTCTTCATAAATTCAATAGGCCCTAAACGTGACTTTTTTAGATACTGAATATTATTATTATTATTTTTAAAAGAGAAAAAAACTTACCCTAAAAATTCCTAAATTTAAGGCAATTTAAAACACCATTTTAATATTACTGACTTGAATTGCAACAAATATGTTCAAAGTATATTCAATTTTGCTCAATATTCAGCACAATCAATGGAGAAAACAACAATTGCAAATATGTAGGGGTATTTGGGGAATTTGAAAATTACAATAAATCAGATCTTGAGCTTGATAAGGTAACTTGATGAGGTGGATCTGTTGGCTGCGCAAATCTCACGGCCTGGAGCTCCGGACCGAGGGGATGTGCGTTAACACATGGCTTCCTTCTTTTCGATGTGGTGTGATTGTACGCGGGCGTGCCAACACGGTCTACCGTGCGTGAGATGTGGTTTGGATAAAATGGTTAAGTGGTGCGCCTGTTTGAATTCGACTTCTAATCAAACGATTGTGGCCGAGAGAAGAACTGATCTCGGTCGTCAGGTTCACGGCCTGAGCTACAAGGCCGTTTAGTGGTGGTGTTGATGGTGGATTTTGGGCATTGCTCCGGCGCGTTGCTCAGGGAGCGACGGTCGTATGATATATGAGATGAATGAAAGAGTAACAGAGATGGTGCTCCGGCGCCTTGAAAATCAAGGGTCGTATGATATATTGATGAACGGATTTTCCTTACAAACTAACACTACTCCTAGGAAAGCAAGTAAAGGTATTGAAAGTGCATTACAGAAAAATATAATTTGCTCCGTGGGAGGCTTTTGTTTGGTGTTTGAACCATTTGAATGTAGCTTGAACTTGGTATTTATAGGAGGAGCGCTTGGAGGAGTAATCGAGGCTGAAAATCTGCATGATGGAGCCTGATCAAAGCAAGTGGGTAGTCCAATCGACATTTGGGATCGTGAAGCATGGTGGTGTGACCCCATGAATCCTGGTAAATCTCGGCCGCTGCCCTGATCGTGGGTTCTGCGCCTCTGGCCGTGGGACGCATTTAATGCCCTTGTTTGGTGGTTGGTGATCTAACCTCAATTTGTAAGAATGTTTGTAAGTATGTTGGCGCCTAACCACTCTGATTTCTGTCACCAAATCCTGACTTGAGTCACTTCCCTTCTTCCCTCGTGCATTAAATGCACTCTTGCGGCTAGTGGGTTTGCTAGTTAGAGGCGTTACTTCATTAAATGAGGCATGGGGCCCTGTTGCCATGTGACGATTTGACTCTTAATATCTTCGGCCGTGTCCCCTTCGTCCCTCGGCCTTGGCCTATCGAAACCGTGTTTGCAAGGCCGAGATGACTATGCCTTCGCAACTTTTCCTTTGTTTTGAGGAAGGCAAAAGAATCATAAGGGCATTTTAGTCCAAATTTGAGATTAAACTCACTTAATTCCAATATTTTCACATCAAACCAAATTCATAAAACACCTAATAAAGTCACACAACTTAATAAGATTTTCTACAAAAATAATAAAACCAAGTATTATTTTTGAGGTTATTACATAGTTAGACCGTAATATGCTTTAAGAACTAATTTTAAAAAATAATAAGTATAAAAAAAATATTTTTTTTAAAGGATGGTATGAATAAATATGCAAATGTTTGGTGATGTGTTCAAGAAAAGTATGATTATATTTGGTGGTACGATTATGTTTCGTGATATGATTATATTTGGTGATATGATATGTTGTTCATCTGATATATATATATATATATATAATTGTTGTATTAATAATTGACACAAATTAAATTAATGTGCTAATCATCCAATTATAAACTAGGAATGAGTAAAGAAAAGTAAATGAAATGAAACAAATTATATATGTGATTTAAGTGATATAATCATAATCCTAAACTCTTATTTATACATAATTATATATGTATGCGGGCCTAACGGGCTGGGCTTTTGTGGGCGGGCCGGGCTTCAAACACTCAAGCCCAAGCCTAGTCCGGCCCAAGACGGGCCGGGCCATCTCAAAGCCCATAACGGGCCGGCCCGTGCTTTTTTTCGATGGGCCGGGCGGACCCCCATCGGCCCATGAGCCCGCGGGCCAAATGATGAGGCCTATCCCCTTCGTCCCTCGGCCTCGGCCTGTCAATACCGTGTTTGCAAGGCCAAGATGACTATGCCTTCGCAACTTTTCCTTTGTTTTGAGGAAGGCAAAAACGCTGCGTTTTGGATTGCGAACAGGTGCTGAGGCCAAGGGGAAAGACCCCTTTGGTCAGTGTACGACCGTGATTTATCAGGCAGAAACAGGATCATAGTCATGGGTTTTTTTCTTATAAAAATTGGGTTTTAGTAATAGGAACAAAAAGCAATGGATTGCAATTAAGGAAAATTCAATTTGGAGGAGGTAAGCCAAATTTACTAAAAAAACTATTATGGGAGGTCAAAGAAAAGCTTTGAAAAACAAGAATATCAACAATGGAGGATGGGAGTGTGATCTAGCTTAGGGTTCTTAGCTGTTATAAAGGGAAGGAGAAAGGGCAGAGGCTGAAAGAAATAACTGAAAAGGTTTAAAGCTTCTTCGAAATTTCACCCAAATTTTAGAAGAGTGACAAAGATAAACATATGTCCTTTGTGAATTCACACGACACGACACTACACGATCCATTAGCTTAACGAACACTCATTTTCAACATGACTCGACCCAAATACTGAATTTTTTTTGGTGTGAATTCATGTCGTGTTAACAGCCGTAAACAATATTGTCAAGTATAGTTTTATCTCAAAAACAAACAAGTTAGTTGGACTTTATTTTTCGTTTCTTTAGCAATATTTTGTGGGCCGGGTAGCATGACCCGACCTGCCTTGCCCAAAGAGAAAACAGAGCACCCAGACCTCGGGGTGCTATTAGCCGCGCGCTTTTCAAAGCAGAGCCACGAAACTTTGGCGCTTTTCATTTTCTCAAATTTGAGAACCAGAAAAGAAGTGACGAGAGAGACTGAGACAGAGATGATGGACATGGATAATTTCCTGGACTTTGAGTCAGAAGACCCACTCGTAAATCGTCCTGCTGTTACTAAGAAGAGGTTGGTTTTCTTCTTTTCTTTTGGTTTTTTACCTTATTTCTAATCTGGGTATTTAGGGTTTACCTTTGTCTCAGTTTTACTTTGATTGGATACTTTCGTTTTCATGGTTTTCCACTTTATTTTTTTTTCTTTTTTCAACATGATTTCTGTTCACATCTATCACAAATTGTAGGATTTAAGTGGCAGCAATGAAAACCCAATAATTTATTGAAAATGATGTGTTTGCATTTTATATCGAAGCAGAGCTTACTTTACTTATAGTAGGTGTATGATTATCACCAGTAATTGATGAGAATGGAAGTTTCTTTTTGTGTAATATCTCCCTTTGGTGCTAATTTAGGAAGAAGACTATTGGGTTGGATGACCTTTTGACTGATTTCTACAAGGAAGAAGACAAGCTTGTTGAAAAGAAATCTAAGCGTGCAAAACCACGAAGGAACAATGATTCAGATGAGGAAGATAATCATAAAGAGGCTGCGCTCTATGACATTGTCGATAAGTGTGAAAGCGAGGCATATTAACGCATCTATTTCTAGTCTTTTCTGGTGTTATATGTATACCAAGTTTCTTCCTTCTAAATTGAAAACATAAACTATTTGATGCAGATGAGAGAAATAAGCGGTAAGGAGGACAGCTTTGTGTGGGGCATATGCGCTTTTGGAAACCAGGTTTTTCTTTTTGAGATAAGAAACAAACTTTCATTTAAGGAAAAAAAATAGTGAAAAGAAGAGAGGACATAAGACTTGACTATAGGCCATAGGGCGCCTTGTCCTCTATTTGTGATCTTTCTTTTGTTCCAAAGACCGGGTTTTCAATGATTACATAAAACCTCTACATTGTCTCAACTGATGCTTGGTTATTGTTGTGTAGATTTTAATAGGAGTTGATCTTTAAATATCTAGTAGGTTCTTAATTTTCGTTTGACTTTGTGATTACAGAAAACCCCACCTCCTCTATCTTTTCCAGAGATTAAAAGTTGCACACTCTTGCAGTCTTTCATTAATGATGAGCTCAACTCTGTGATTGATATCTCTACAGAAAATGGTTAGTTATAATGCTTGGCTTTCTAGTTATCACTAGTCATAAATTATTGGCATGCATTTTTTTGCATCAAGATGAGTTTCCTCTTGTGCATATCATGGCCTGTACAGTAGTGTGGCCTTGCAAAGTACATATTTAGTTGTTGATGTTTTGCAGGAGACACCTTCCTTGAAGGATTACTAGTAAATGGCTGGCTTTCAAAATTGGTTTTTGCCAGTCGTCATCTAGAAGAATCAGTGGCCACATGGACCTTTAATTTGAGTGAGTTTATTTGTCACCCCTAGCCTGTCCTTTTAATCCTCATTAAATTTCTTGTGATGTGTTTACCCCTTTGTTTTTCAGTGCTATATTCACCCAAAGAAGATTTGAGGGCATCTGCATGTGACTTCTGGTGTGCTATTCTCTCATTTGAAAATGAGGTGAGCTTGGTCTTTGCTTTTTGGCTTGGAGACAAGTTTGATTGGATAATATGTTAAGGGAGTAATTCTGGTATTAATTTTTAACCAGGTTGACTTACAGCCTATCAAAATTGATTGGTTTCCTAGCTATTCTGAGTTAAAAATAGCTCTTGAAAGCTATGGTTTTCTATTCAAATTTTCATCTAACACGGATTCTGCTCGTTCTAGTAAGTTTCTTACCTTCATACCAGTTTTCATGCATAATTCAGGGCAGATGTAATTTTTTCATGAGCAGGAGAAATATACATCCTTTATTCTGCAGTAAACTATGTGTTGATACTTGGTAGAATATCCTTAATCATGTATAAGTGCAGTAATTTCAGGAGAATTTTATCCTCTGCTTTCATGTTGATGCATTTTGGAAGGATTTTCTAGGTTGCCTTGATCTTGATGCTATTGCCACATATCACTTGGTATATACCAACCTAGAAATGGACCCAACCTCCATATTCATTTGGCCTACCCTACCAGTCAAGAAACAAAGTTTTAGTGTTTAAAGGGTTTATTTGTTCTTCAAATCTGACAAATGCTATACTCCAATGATATTTTAGGATGGTTTTTTCGGGTGTTAATAGATCACTAGTGATTTTCAGATTTTCTATTTTCCAATTTCTTTCCTAGTTTTTCTCATGCAATATACCAAATGTCATGTAGAACTTTCACAGTTTTGCATGTTTCAGTTATTAATCTTCTCATAATACTTTTATTTTGCCTTCTAGATTCTGCTTCTCGAGGTCCAGCTCAAAATATTAGAGCTTGGCTTAAACTTGCAACTGCTTCTTGTCAAATGAGGTAAATAACAATTGGAAATGCTAGTTTGACGACACATTAGACTGCCATTTACTTTTCTCCTATGAATCCAACAGTTGATTTATAGGTTGGTGTCTGTAATTGTTTCTAGCTTATTGCTTATTGTTACTGTCATTGTCTCATTAGTATGGGCTGCTTATTGGGCATATAGCCTATATAAATCCATTTATTCCTTTCATTTTTATGGCTGATATAAGTTGATAATTAGGCATTCAGATTAATGGCTGATTAGTTTTCAATTTGCCTAGTTTGGGGTATAGGCGGTTCAACTCAGTTATGGTATAATTTATCAGCAATTTATGTCTTGAATCGTACATAAATCAGTGTGCACTTTTAATTGGATATGCAATACAGTGTTCTTCTTCGTTTCTAAATTTTTCTTTCAACAGGACCATCTTACAGCATGACAGATATATTAATGATGCAAATGGTTATGAATAATTTGGAAATATGTTTGATTTTTATTGATTTCAGTGGGTTGCTGTGGTGCTTTTATTTGCAGAAACAAAAGGGCTATGTACTTGACTTCAGAAGCCGAAGAGTTGATTGAAGTCATTATTTGTCTATTTTCTGACCGCCAACTTCAAGGTCTTCTTGTGCTTTTGAATGAATGCATGCTGTCAGCTATCAGTTACTTCACTAACGAAGAATGGGAATCTAGCTGTGAGAAGATAGCAAACTCTCTTGCTAGCAGGTTGTTCACTCTACTTGTTGTTTGGTTTCAATCCACATGTATGCAGTTGGATTGGAGTTTTTGCTAATTGGACTGGGGATCACTCTTTCGTCTATTTCGAGCAGAGTTTTTGATCAATTAGTGAATTTGAACTTTTCTGCACCATTTTTCAGGGATCAGTTAATATTTATTGCATCTACCCTAATTATCATATATTGTAAACTTTGCTGATGATATGCCTTTTATTTGCTGTTGGGACTATATTTTCGGTGAAATCACTGTAATAGGAATTTTCTAGAAATGGCAAGTATCATAACGGGGGGTTTTGTTCAGACAGATAGAGAATATGCATAAGATAAGTTATCATGCTCATATTCCATTGGTTGGTTACTGTGGATATCTGGATTATCATAGAAGGCAAATTGGAAAAATTGAAAACAAGAAATTTAAATCGGTAGTCAACTGTTATATTAGTACTTTCTGAGATCTTTATGGCCACTTAATTCTGCATATCATTCTTGGTGATGGTTAAAAAAAGAAAACTAAGATGAAAAAATCTGATTTTATTGCGTAAATATTGTTGTTGTCTTTTTCTGTTTGCCTTTACAATTCCTCTCCCCAATTATTGTTGATTTTGTGATATGCAGAGTACCTAAGGACTTGAACTGCCTAAGAATTGTGGAATGCATTTCGGTAGAAAATTCTCGCTGTAAGCTGTTTAGAAGTACAGTTGCCCATCAAATCCTTCTTAGTTATTTTGATCATAAGGTACTGAACCTGATTACAAGTTTGTTGAATATAGTACTAATTATGCTTTTATTCTAAGTTTTATCAAACAACTGTCCCCGCGAACTAAGTTAAGCTGTTAGGGAAAGAAAGAGGCAGTCTCTATGCAATCCAACAAGACTTGAATTTTAATCTCATATGCTGGTAATAAACAGATTTTGTAATCATTAATTAATCTCTCTTCTTTTTGTATTGTTTATTCTTTTTAAGCACTTGTTTTTGTTGATATAATATCGGCCAGATTTGGAAGTGTTATGGTCATGTCCTACCCTTTTATTTTTTAATCTCATACTGATAGTAAGGTTTTTTGTTCTATATTTGTTTTCTTTACAAGACATTCATGGTGACATGAACTATACATAATAACTTATGATTATTACTTATTGTTTATTGAGTGAATGTTTGTTGCTTATTCTCTAAATGTTTTTCTCTTTAACTACAAAAGACATTGTTGTTAGTTTGAAATGTCTGTCTAGATGATCCTTTGCACAACAAATTCCTTAAACTGATTTGACACTGCTGCTTGACGTCACACTTCACCTCAGGCCCCTTCTGAAGAAGAGATCCTAAAACTGCTTATCCCAATCAATGTCAAAGACAAAAGCTGTGATTTTTTCAAGATGTACATACACTTGGTGTTGACAGAGAATTGGCTCTTGTCTAATCAACTTTTAGAAGACAAGCCAGTCTTGAAGGCAATGTGGCGCCACTACTTAAGAAACTGTTCTTGCATGATAGCCAGCACAGACTTGCGGTGTTTTGCATCTAAGGTGTGGAATCAAACTTAATCATCTCCTCCTTACACCTTGGTGAGTATATTAAAAGTATTTTCTGCTTTGCAGGTCCGCAACAAGGCTTCATATCTTCTGCAAGGCACTGTCAGCTAATTAGTTGAAATCATGTATATTATGTAACATATGAGTAGGAAAGAATCAGGAAGAAAGTGCCCTGATACATTATGAATTGCTAACTGGAGTTGTATTGAGTCAGCATCCTGAAGCAGGACGTTTTGAAGCATATTGGGGGGGCTTGCCTCTAGTGGTTTTTGCAAAGGGAATGTTCGTTTGGTTTTATTTGCTTCTTTCCTCCCTCACTAAGTTTCTCTGTAATGGATATATTGGTAATGTATAATGTAATTGGAGACAAATGCAGAGCAACAACGGCTTCTTCCCTACCTAGTTTAAAATTGCTTTTGAATTTTCTTTCAAACCCCTAAATTAGAGAGGAAAAATGTCATTCAATTTTAATTGGGTTAGTTTTAAAAGATATGAGACTAAATACAAATGCCTTTCGGCCTTGATCAAGATTTCATTAAGTTTTAGTAGGGATGTCTCTCAAGAGATGTGAAAAAAGAGAGTCCGAGTGATAGTATAGCTTTTTTAATTTTTATTTTCTTAAAAATACGGCAACCATCACCTCATCTATTAAAATTAAAATGAGACACTGGACAGGATGACAGTGTGGTTCAAAATGACAATTAGAAAGAACAAGCACTGCAAAAGGAAGAGTGGTCCCAATATGATAATTAGAAATGGAAAGGCTTAAATATGCTAAAGCATTAGCAACAAAGTTAGTCTCTCTAAAAATATGTCGAATTGTACATCATCAAAACAATGACAAATGAATTTAATGTCTCAAATGATCATTCGAACTAGCCAAGAGATCAAACAAGACCGTAATAAACAAGTAATTAAGAGTTCTAAAATGGAAGTGTTTACTCACATGTCAAACTAGATCTCATAAGTTGTAATGATGCAAACTAATCCTTAGACTTGAGACATCATAGTTGTCTTGTGGCTGTGTTGTTTGTCTTTGAAGGCACTATACAGTAGTGTTTTAGAAGACATAACCGAAATGTATTTTATTAGGACTCTCGATAAAGTCACGAAGGCAAATGAATGTACAACAAGGAATTTCTACTCTCAGTAAAGAGAGAGAATACTCCTAAGATATGATTGATCAAATCTTTGCATAAAGTAGTGGATAAGATTTGAAAGAAGAAGCCTTCAAATCTTACCAAGATAATCATATAAGGAATAATTCACATTAAGGTATTTGACATAAGATTTCATAACCTAATAATGTAAATAAGGAGTGTAGTTCAAGAGAAGAATTCAATTGCACGATCATTCCAATTTGAATAGGTTATTCACTATATCCTATTTAGCTAGGATAACCATGACATGTTGTTAGGCATCAACTATGGTTTGTGAAAGTCCTAGAAGGTTCAATCACAATTGACCTTCGGTGATAGGAAGAATTAAATAGTGAGATTTAATTCACAAGTCAACTCAGAGAAATTGAGTCAACTCACTATCTTACTAAAGAAACTTACGGATCACTTACCAAGAAATGTGATTAGATAAACAAATGAAGAGGAAAGAAACTTGATAACAAAAGTCAATGGTCAATGGTCAACGGTTAAAAGTCAAAGTCAACATATTTGACCAAAAACAATTGATCGATTCAAACTAGTTAGACTATGAGTATAACTTAATGATTAAGTTATAATTGACATTAGAATAGCATTGGGCTTTAATTCAATTACACGTAAAAAGGCAAAATGCCCAAATACCCATTGGGCCCAAGAATAAGTGTTGTATGACAACACAAATTCAAGAGACCCAAGGAAAGCCCACTCACACTATGGTTGGGAAGGGAGATTTTCTCTCCTCACTTGTGTCTTTTCTATTTAAGTCACACTATGACATTTTCAAGTTAGGGTTTTGGCCTCCTAAGCTTTAGGTGAGATTTATCTCCCTCCATCTCTTGCCAAAAATCGATCCACCAAGAACAGGGGTGGGCACACAAAGGGACAAATAGGGTCAGGCGACCCCAAGGCAGCTGGGAAATGCAGTGGAAAAGGACTGGTGCAACCCCATGGTTGGTTTATGAGCGACCCCATGGAGCACACCAAGTGCTCGACGAAATGCCCAGCAGAGGAAGAAGAAGAAGCTTGTGCAGGCAGCGCCTGCCTTGTGCAGAGTGCGCGCGACGCGAGTTATTATTATAATTTTTTAAACGGCATGGCCAAAACGACGCCGTTTTGGTCCAAGCGTGTTAATATATATATTTTTTAAAACATGGCTCAAAATGATGTCATTTTGAAGCCAGGTTTTAACAAAATTAAAATAATAATAAAATAAAAAAACCCATCAACAGCTCTATCTACCCGATTCTAATTCCCAGCAGCAGCAATTCATCCCAAACCTAATATTTTTTTTTTTTCAAAATTCCCTCTCCTCTAAAAACCTAACTAATCCCCAACCTCCACCACCCCTACCACCAACCACTACATGCCGCAGCCATCAACAACCACCTCTTGCCGCTGCTGCCATCGCTTCTCATCAAATCAAGTGAGTTATAATTTTACATATATTATTTTGGGTTTTGGATAATTTTAAGGAAATTGATATATATTTCATGAATTATAATTTATTGGTTTGGTATGTTATGAAATTGATTGATTTTTCTTATTTGGATTAGAATTTATATTAATTGATTGATTTTCTTTACGAATTAGAATTTGTTTGATATTTTGATATTGATTGATTTTATTATTTGGATATTTTAGTAGAGTTTATATTGATTGATATTATTATTTGGATTAGATTAGTCTTTATAATTTATGGATTTAATTAATTTATGTGTAGAAAAAATTATCATGGAACGATATTTTAAGAGAAAAGTGCCTATGGATAGTGAGTCTAATCCGGGTAGTGTAAGTGCAAGAGCAAGATTGAATTAGATGAGATATTGGCCAATCTTCAAGCAGACCCTGGACTAAGAACGCCGATGACGGATTATAGTCCTAATCATCGAGATGAGATTCGAAGAGCATATCTTCAAAAAGGACCTTGTCAACCTAAAGGTCATAGATTCTCACAAAGTAATCAATCAGGAATTAATAGACGTTTCATTGCCCAATGGTTTGATGAGTTTGATTGGTTGGAGTATAGCATAACTAAAGATGCTGCATTTTGCCTCCATTGCTATCTCTTTAAAACTAATTTTGATCAAGTGGGTGGTGACGCCTTCTCTGGGGTAGGCTTCAATAATTGGAAGAAGGGGAGAGAAAGGTTTAGCATTCATGTTGGACCTATTAGTAGTGTTCACAACCAAGCTAGAAAAACTGCTTACAATCTGATGCATCAAAAAGCTCACATTGAAACAATTGTGATCAAGCAAATAGATTATGCTCGTATGGCTTATCGCACTTGCTTGAATGCATCACTCAAGTGCACAAGGTATTTGTTGCGACAAGGCCTTTCTTTTTGCGGTCATGGTGAAAGTGCCACTTCAAGTAATAAAGGGAATTATTTGGAGCTTTTACAATTTCTTGCGGAACATGATGAAAAAGTTAAGGCCGTTGTGTTGGAAAATGCTTCGGGAAATCTTAAGCTAATAGCTCCTTCAATTCAAAAAGATCTTGTCAATGCATGTGCCAAAGAATGCATTAGTCTTATCATGAGTGATCTTAAAGATAGGTATTTTTCAATAATGGTGGATGAAGCATGTGATGTTTCAATAAAGGAGCAAATGGCGATAATGGTTCGTTATGTGAACAACAAAGGACAAATAATAGAAAGGTTTGTGGGGGTCCAACATGTTACCAACACCACTTCAAGTGCATTAAAGAAAGCCATTGATGAATTATTTTCTTTCGAGGGATGGAGCTTTTCTAAGCTACGAGGATAAGGTTATGATGGAGCTAGTAATATGAGAGGTGAATTCAATGGCCTTAAAACAAAGATTTTGAGAGAACAACCTTGTGCATTTTATGTTCATTGCTTTGCTCATCAACTTCAACTAGCTCTTGATGTCGAGGCAAAGAAAAATATTGATGTTGCTTCTTTTTTCACAACGGCTAATAGTTTGGTTAATATTGTTGGAGCATCTTGTAAACGTCGTGATGCACTTAGAGTACAATACCAAGATGAGCTTGTAAAAGCTTTTGATGAAGGTTGTCTTATAACGGGGCGAGGCTTGAATCAAGATACTACTCTCAAATGTGCAGGTGATAAAGGATGGAACTCATATTATGCTACCTTGATTAGTATCATTTGTATGTTTCCATCTGTTGTGAGTGTGCTTCAAATGATTGTTGATGATAACTCCAATGATAGTTCGGGTGAAGCCTTTAAGTTATGGAGAGAAATAAAAAATTTTGAGTTTGTGTTCCACTTGTTTTTTATGAAAACTATATTAGGAATAACAAATACTTTGTCTCAGGCATTGCAAAAGAAAGATCAAGACATTGTGAATGCAATGGGTTTAGTTCAAACATGCAAGGAAAACCTACAATTGATGAGGAATAATGAGTTTGATGAATTGGTTGATCAAGCATCTCCGTTTTGTAACAAACATCATATTATGGTTCCTAACATGGATAAGGAATATGTAATTCCTTGGAGGTCATGGCTTAATGTTCAAATCAAGATAAACAATCATCATTATCGTGTGAAGCTCTTTCTTCATATCATTGATGGACAACTTGCGGAATTAAATGATTGTTTCAATGAGGTAAATATTGAGTTGCTTACTTGTTTGACTTGCTTGAGTCCAAACAATTCATTTGTAGCTTTTGACAAACGAAACCTAGTTCGTCCTGCTCAATTTTATCATTAAGATTTTTCGGATGGAGCTTTATTGATGCTTGAAGATCAACTTGGGGTTTATGTTCGAGTAGTGATTTTTCTGAATTGCAAGGGATTTGCATGCTTTCGGAAAAAATGGTGGAGAGAGGGATGCATGAAATATTTCCTTATATGTATTTGCTTATTACATTAACTTTGGTTTTACCAGTTGCAACTGCTTCAGTGGAGAGAGCATTTTCAGCCATGAATATTATCAAAAATCCACTTCGCAATAGAATGGGAGATCAATGGTTGAACGATAGCTTGGTTGTTTACATTGAAAGAGATGTTTTTGCTTGTATTGATAACGAAGCTATAATGCAACGTTTTCAAAACATGAAAACTTGTCGTGGACAATTGTAGCTTGTATTGTTTGTTTTGCCAAAAATTAGGAATGAAAATACTATCTTTATCTTTTTTAGTGTTATTTTCTTCTTAACAAAATTTTGAGACTTTACACTATGACCCCATGGCGACACAATCAAGCGTCCGCCACTGACCAAGAGTGAGTCTAGCACCTCTATCCTCTTGGTTGATCTCATCTCCATCTCTCTTTGCATTTTGGTGTGGTGAAATAGATGGAATCTACTTTGGTGCCTCTTGGTTGAAGAGCTTCTACAATATCAAGGAAGATTCAAGGCCTTTCATAAGGTGTTCATACTTGGCCTAGCCAAGATAAGCTTCAAGGGTATATTCTCATCCCTCTTGCTTTTTCCTTTTATGTATAAAGAGATTATACCTCAAAGATACGTAGGTAAAAATGAAATAGATTTAGCCTAACAAGATTTAAAGTTAATTGCTTCCGCTTTTGAATAGATGATTCATGTGTTTATGGCTAAAATTCATTTAAAAAGGTTTTGATGTATGTTTCCTTCAAGTGGTATCAAGAGCCAAGGTATAATCTCCTTATGCCTTTTGATTAAATTGAATGTTTCAATGAATTTAAGCCCATATTATCTAATAACAAGTTTTTAAAGTTGCATTCCAATTTAATTATCTAATTAGATTAAATGATAAGGATGATTATGAACTTAAGAACACTAAATACAAATAAGCTATAATATTGGCCGTTATTCATAAGATGAACGGATTAGATTGATTTAATGGCTGTAAATAAAATAGAGACTTGCATGCCTCTTCTATCTCAATTTCAATTGTATTTTCTATCTTCCTAAAAATGTAACTCCCTTAAAGTCCACTGGGCTTTAAGTCTTTTATTCTCAAATAGATTTGTAAATAGGAAGAAGGAGCCTATTGAAGAAGAAGACAACTGAAGGAATAATCAACTTAAGATTATTTATGGGTCCAACGCCCATCAACCACGAATGTTTTAAGTAGTTAAAACGCATAATAAAATCAATCACCTTCCTAAAGACCTAATATCCGACATCTTGGCTAGATGTTAGATCAAAATCAAGTCCATAATCATCCATGAGCCTATAGACAACTATTTAACTAAACTTAAAGAATGCAAGGCTTTTTCGTTAGTAGTACTACATATTCCCAATTTCAAAATAAAAAAAGTTTTGTGAAATTGATTTAGTTTTCAAAACAAATAGTAGGAGTATCGTACAACTACTAATATGAATTGGATTAATAGTTGTCCTAGGCCAAGTAGTTTAATAGGATTAAAGCATGAATATGATGAGACTATTAAAACCCTCAAAACAAATTAAGTAGATAAATGATAGACTTTTTGAAAGGCTAGTCGTGGCTTTCCACCATGTTGGATTCTCATTAAACATGACCCTTGCAATAAAGGCTTGCACTAAGATACGAGGGGCCCAAAGCAAAGTACTTATATTTAAAAGGAAAGTCTGTTTTCTTGAAAGAAATTTGGAAACTCAGAGTCGGTTTTGGTCAGGTGAACTTTTAACTTTAAAAGCAATAGCCCAGATAATGTGGAGGTTAAGATCCAACGACCACACCTATGTTGCGAGTCTGAATAATTAGTAGTATTGTGATGCTTCCTTCTTTATTTTATATGTTTTTTTTACATCACTTGTAGAATTAATGTCTTATATACCAGTCAAGAGCTCATCCATCAACCATTAGGACTAGATATCTCACTGGTATTTATAAGAAGTGAGTGGAGTAGGGTTTCTAAGTTTCCTTGGTGAGTAGGGAATAGAAATCTATATGATATAAGGAAACTATATAATCTTTTTTTTTTACTTTTTAAAATTTGTAAGAAATTTGGAAAGTCTAGTTTTTTTGAAAGAAATTTGGAAATTGAGAGTCGATTTTGGTCAAGTGAATGTTTAACTTTAAAAGCAATGGCCCAGATAATGTGGAGATTGAGATCCAACAGCCACACCTATGCTACAAGTCTGAATAGTTAGTAGTAGTGTGATGCTTCCTTCTTTATTTAATATGTTTTTTTTTACATCACTTATACAATTGTTGTCTTATATACCAGCTAGGAGCTCATTCATTAACAATTGGGACCAGTTACAATTGATGTTGTTGGCTAATGATTGGTTGCCCACATCCTCATTGTTACTTGGGTTACAAGCTTCCACTACTTGGGTTTTACCAATGTTGAATGTAGTCGGATTGATATCGTTATAGAAAGCAAAGATCATCACTAGTTAGACAGTCAACAAATGATTAGTTGCCCACATTCTCAAAGTTACTTAGGTTGCAAGCTTCCACTACTTGGGTTTCACCAATGTCGAATGCAGTTGGATCAACATCCTTAAAGAGCACAATAAGATCAGCACTAGGTAGACTGTCAGTTAATGTTTGGTTGCCCAAATTCTCCAAGTTACTAGGGTTGCAAGCTTCCTCTACTTGGGTTTCACCAATGTCGAAGGTAGACGGATCAACAACATCATAAAAGACCATATAATTCTCAAAGTTACTTTCGCTGCTAGCTTCCTCTGTTGGCGTGACTTGTGGACCATTGACTTTCTTTCCTTACACACCAAGGATTCCCATTATAATTATATTTGATTTACTTTAATTCTTGATTTCCTACTGTAAATAGAAATATGATTTTATTATTTACTTGCCCATTATAGTTTCATTGTATTATAAATATGACCTTCTAGAAGAATACACAGAAAATTCCCACAAACAAATATTCTCTCATAGTTCTCATATTTTAGCATGGTATCAGAGTGGCAATCTTGGAATTGCTGACTCTAGTTTCCAACCCCCGCCACCACTATGGGGGTTGATGATTTTTTCAACCCTCATGGAGGTAGCACCACTGACTCCTTCTCTTCTTCTCAACCAACCATAGCCGAGTTGAGTGCCCAACCTTACTACGACAACGACCTCGACCCCGACCCCGACTACGACGACAACAACAACCCCGACTTCGATGATGACCACGACCCCAAATCTGCTTATGATTCATACCCAGATCTTGACTTCAACTCCGACCTTGACTCAGGCTCAGATCCCGATCCGAATTCCAACTAAACTTGTATCCTATGCATCTTCCGCTGCACAAATTATAACTTCCCAACTAATGACCCTGACACATGGATGAGATTGCACATACTGTGGTGATCCGAGACACATTCGTGAGACTTGTTTTAAATTGCATGGCTACCCCGAATGGTGGACCACTCTCAAAGATCGAACACCACCTGAATGATACTGATTATGGATTCCATACTCGGTGCAACTAATCATATGACGTTTGATCCTGATGATTTTCTGAATACTACCCAACCTCGATGAACTTGTATTGCTAACGCGAATGGCGTTACTTATCCTGTGACAGGGGCTAGCATTGTTGCACTCTCATCCTCTCTCTCACTGTCTAATACTTTACTTATTCCATCTTTATCCAATAAATTGTTGTTAGTTAGTCAGCTTACTGAACAATTGAATTGTTGTGTATTCATTTACCCGAGTTTTTGTTTGCTTCAGGATATTCACACTAAGGAGATTCTTGGTCATGGTACTAAGAGATGGGAGCTATATTATGTAGATGACTTCAGTCCCGGCATGGCTAATAGTGTGATGCATCCCTTTGATAGCAAATAAAAGCAAATTTGGTTGTGGCACCATCGATTGAGACATCTGTCTTTTAGTTATATGAAGTATCTTATACCAAATTTATTCTCAAGTTTCAAGGACTTCGACTTCACATGTGATACTTGTATTTTGGCCAAGAGTCACCATGTGCCCTATCTGTTGAGTATGAACAAGTGTACTACTCCATTTACGTTAATTCACTCTGATGTCTAGGGACCTTCATCTGTCACTGCTCCTTCTGGTGTTCGGTGGTTTGTCACATTCATAGATGATTGTACACATATGACATGACTTTATTTGCTGAAGAATAAAAACGAAGTGTTTTCCCGTTTTCAGTCCTTCCACAAACAGATGAAAACTCAGTTCAATGCTCAAATCCTGATTCTTTGCTCAGACAATGGTGGAAAATTTGTAAATTATGACTTTCAGGCTTACTTCCAACAACATGGAATTATCCATGAGACGACTTGTCCTTAGACAGCGCAACGAAATGGTGTTGCTGAACGAAAGAATCGACATCTTCTTAAAACCGCCCGAGCACTTCTAATTGGCACTCATGTTCCTCGCCATCACTAGGATGATGCTATTGTCATCGCAGTTCACTTGATCAACCGCATGTCTTCTGGTGTATTGGCCTTTAAAACTCTCTTGGAAGTGCTTGCGCAACACAGACCCCTGCCCTCGTTTTGGTACTCACACCCCGAATCTTTGGATGTGTGTCTTTTGTTCATCTCCACAAAATCAACGTAGCAAACTTGATCCATGTGCACTTCGTTGTGTTTTTGTGGGTTATGCCACTCATCAAAAAGGTTACCGTTGTTATCACCCTCATACCCGACGTTCCTATGTCACTTTGGATATGACCTTTTTGGAATCTGAGCTGTTCTTCCATGACCCATCATCCAATTCTACATTTTAGGGGGAGATACGAAGTGAAGAGCATAATTGGAGCAACTTGGAAAACAAAAAAATTCTCCTATGTACAGAAATGATCGATCATCCCGAGTCTGGAGGACGAGATTACTCTATGCTGAAAAGTGATCAATCGCCCATTCATAGCGATAATTGCCTAACCTACCTGATCCCTGCGAAGATGAATCGGATCCGAGTCCCAAACCTACAGACAATACAGAACAACAGGATGAAGACCCCCTTCTAACTTAACAGTACCAACAGACCAATCTTCTAAGAATATCCTTGATGTAACTACTCCTACTACACTTGTGAATTTAGAGAATAAATCTATTGGATACCAATTACCTTTCAGGCAGAATCGTGGAAAGCCACCAAATCGTTATTCACCTGATATTGGCAAGACTTCAAAGTTTCCAATTGCGAATCATGTATCCACTAAGAAGATGTATGAACCACTTAAGGCCTTTGTGCATCAGTTGTCTGCTATTCATATCCCAACCAAGGTTGCTGAAGCATTTAAAGATCCTAAGTGGGTTCAAGCTATAAAAGAAGAGATGAAAGCTCTTGAGAAGAATTAGACTTGGACACTGAAAACTTTACCACAAGGAAAAAATGATGTCGGATGTAGATGGGTGTTTACCATAAAACACAACGCTGATGGATCTATTGAGTGATACAAGGCAAGACTTGTGGCGAAAGGGTACACACAGACTTATGATGTAGATTATGAAAAAATCTTTGCACCAGTAACAAAATTGAACACAGTTAGAGTCTTACTGTCCCTCGCAGCTAATTTGAACTGGCCACTACACCAATTTGATGTAAAGAATGCCTTCCAACATGGAGAACTCACGGAGGAGGTGTATATGGATATTCATCCTGGACATAATACTACTTAGACTTGAACAATATGCAAATTACGAAAGGTGTTGTATGGACTGAAACAATCACCACGTGCATGGTTTAGACGGTTCACCATGGCAATGAAGAACAATGGTTTCAAACAGAGTAACTCAGATCATACTTTGTTCTTGAAACATCTGAAATGGAAGGTAATAGCTTTAATAATCTATGTTGACGACATGATTATTACTGGGAATGATAAACATGAAATATCTCAGCTACAAGACTATTTGGCTACTGAATTTGAGATGAAGAATCTAGATGGACTCAAATATTTCTTGGGGATTGAGGTGGCCTGATCACAACAAGGCATATTTCTCTCTCAAAGGAAATATGTCTTGGACTTATTAACAGACACAAGAATGCTAGATTGCAAACCTGTAAACACTTCTATTGTTCATAATCATCATATTGGAGAATACCTGGATCAAGTTCCAACTAACAAAGAAAGATACTAAAGGTTAGTGGGAAGATTGATCTACTTGTCTCATACTCGGCCAGACATTGCTTATGCGGTGAGCGTCGTCAGTCAATTTATGCATTCTCCAAGTGAAGACCACATGAATGCAGTTATTCTGATACTTAGATATTTGAAGTCTAGACCTGGAAAAGGACTTATGTTCTCAAAACATGGTCATTTGAATATTGATGGTTACACAGATACAGATTGGGTAGGAAGTATAACAGATAGGAAATCCACATCCGATTACTTCACATTCGTGGGAGGTAATTTGGTTACATGGAGAAGCAAGAAACAGAAGGTGGTCGCCTTATCCAGTGCAGAAGCCGAGTTCAGAGGTATAACCAACGGAATTTGCAAACTCATTTGGTTAAAGAAGTTGCTTACTGAACTTGGATATAGACCTACATCTGTAATAAATCTCTTTTGTGACAACAAGGCTGCAATAGCTATTGCACAAAATCCAGTTCAACATGATCGCACCAAACATGTTGAGGTAGATCGACATTATATCAAATAGAAGCTCGAAGCTAAAGTGATACAGTTTTCTTTTGTAAAGTCCGAGGATCAATTGGCGGATATTTTGACAAAGGCAATTTCCAGTAAAGCGTTCCACAATTCACCGGACCAGTTGGGTATTGGCGACATCTATGCACCATTACTTGTGGACCATTGACTTTCTTACCTTACACACCAAGGATTCCCCATTATAATTATATTTGATTTACTTTAATTTCTGATTTCCTACTGTAAATAGAAATATGAATTTATTATTTACTTGTCCATTAAAGTTTCGTTGTATTATAAATATAATCTCATGCAAGGAGAAGAATACAAAGAAAATCCCCACAAACAAATATTCTCTCATAGTTCTCATATTTTAGCATGGTATTAGAGCGGCGATCTTGGATTTCACCAAGTAGTTGTTCAATGTCGAAGATAGTATTCTCCTCAAAGAAAGTCGAATCAATCAGATCATCATCATAAGAGCACACAAGATCACCCTTAGTTAAACTAGAATAGCAGTCTTGTTGTACATGTGATGATTATGTTGATCCCCCATTTGATGATGTTTTTTCATTTTTTTGTTTATGCTCCTCTTCTTTTGTTCTTAATCTTGTGATGAACGCTTTAAATTTATTTACTTAACCTCAGCTCTATCGTTCTTCCTCATCCGACAAATCACGAAATTGAAATGGTAACTACGATTAGTGTAGGTAGCTATCACTACAAAACAAATGATCACAGAGGAAAGATCGAAGAGCAACCATGGCAAAAGATTTTGATCTTGTCAAATTGGTGAATAATAGTAATGATGAAGATTAAGGAGTTGGAGTGCTTATATATAGAAAATTTGAGGAAATGCTCTCTAACACCACTGTTACCCTCTGTTTGGATGAATGAATTGAAAATTGCATAGAATTCTAAATTGACGGAATGTAAATCTCCATCATTTAAATTTCTGATAATTAATAATTTCCGTGTTTAGACTTATGTATGTCGAATTTTGTAAATGACAAAACTTACAGGGAAATGAATTCCCGCTCAATAGAAATTGTGAAATGACACCTCTTTTGGCGGAATTACTCGGAAATTGCAATCCCAAATTTTCACGATTTTTTCCGCTCGTAACTTAATAAGTTTCGTACTTAAGTTGCCAAACAAGAGGAATATCAATTTCTCTTATTTGATTCCCAACGTTTAGCTAAATCCAAATTATTTTCCTCCATCCAAACGGAGGGTTGTATTCTCAAATAGCATTGTTAACGTGGCTCTATAGTAACTTTGAGAACATTTTTCATCCTCTGTTTCGGTATTGCTTCTCAATCTATTAAATACTTTTTAATATTATTTATTTAGGAAATTCTCAATTTTCATGATACCTTCTCTTGGTTTTTTTTTTTTTTTGAACGACCACAATTTATTACAACAAAAAGAAAAAACCTTAAATATTGTTTATTATTTTTCTCCGCCGCTTGATAAATCGGCTTGGGCAAATGAGCAAAAGGCCATAGCACAATTTGATTTCCTTTTCTGCAAAATCCCACATCAGAAGAAGAAAAAAAATCAGAAAGATATGCATTTTATTTTGAATGACCACACTTAAACCGTCGTCTTTGGTGGAGGACTCAGATGACCATGGACGACACCGCCACCACCACCATCAAAACCAAAACTAACGACAACAAAAGCCGCAAGCGCCGCTGGAGCGAAGGCGATGACGAACAAAGCAAATGCGAAGACTACGATGACTTGGAGGAAGAAAAGCAGTGCGACGTGGAGCTCTGGGAGACGCTGAACAGGAGCTTCCGGCAGGTCCAGTCCGTACTGGATCAGAACCGCGCTCTGATCCAGCAGGCTAACGACAACCACCGGTCCAGAGTCCCCGATAATCTTTCCGAAAACGTTGTCCTGATCCGCGATATCAATTCCAATATCAACAAAGTCCTCTCCATCTACTCCGATTTATCGGCCAATTTCTCGAGCATCGTTCACCTGCCCCGCGCCAAAAGCAACAAGAACGACGGCGACAAAGACAACAACAGAGGCAATCGGAAATTGGATCGGGTAAAATCGGGCGTGGAGTCGCAGTAATTTCGAACACCTTGTTGTGAGTCTTCTGTTCGTGGTTGTGAGTCGTCTGTAAACTGTTTGTTGAAATGCTTGCGTTGTTGCTGAAAGTTTAGTGTTTGGTAGTGTTGTAAAATGACGAAAGCTTTGCCTAATATTGAGCTTTTGTTATGTGTTGTATAAGGACCAAGGCTGCGGGATTGCTTGTCTGCATTATTATCCACCCTGCAGATACCACGAGGTATATTTTCTGTTAGTTTTTGGTTTAATTTTTGAATGTTTTTACTAGTATTTGTTTTACAGCATGTTTAATCAGCCCTTTTTTTAATGACAGAATAGTAGGAAACAAAACAATCACTTTACCTATGGAAGCATTTTGCGAAAGGCATTGAAATGAATGGGATCTCAATCTCAAATAGTACTGCTTCAAGTGGAGCAAGTTCAGAGAGTGAACTTTTGCTGGTTTCAAAGACACATCATAAAAGGGAAAGAAAAAAAAAGGCAATGAGGTATTAGTATAACAAAAGAATGAAACCAAAAAAGTACAAATGTAACACTTGCACCACCTGTTTCTCTGTAATTGATCTTTCACTTTTTCATTGCTCAATTCGTACATAACATGAGATGATACCAAACATAAATATACTTTTGAATAGTTGTGATCATTTATTTTACTACTTTGGGCATAATATTCAGGGAGAATCAGTGAACAAATAGTGTCTAACAAAAACAGGAAAAAGAAAAGAAAGAAAAAAACCATTTTCAACCTTGTCTAGCTTGCAAACAACAACCTTCTACTCACAGCCTCCTTTGGACTCTCTTGTACAATATTAACATCTTGCATATAAGAATAAGTTAAGAAACAAGTCATCCCTGCATATAAGAATAAGAAAAGAAACAGTGCAACACAAATATGGAAAAATATTTAACGCCACAAGCTCAAACTCAATTTAGTTTACCAAGATAGACTTCTTCTTGAAGAATAGAACCAAGCACTTGATTCAAAACACCTTTTAAGAAGAATTTAAATATGCTACTACATTATTTACACACCATGGATAAACAGATCATTAAGTTAAAAAAAAAAAAATTAACAGTAATTGGAAGAGCAAAAAGCATAGAGTAAAACAAATTTCAGAACAAATATTCCACTGAATAGCAAATTTTTTCATGTCTTTAGGACAAGAATTGGTATTCAAAATGTGTCATACTTGGAATTATAATTCAATCACCACAGCTTTGTTGGTTTTGACATATGCAGGAATGGTGATATAAGAGTTCAATACGAAAAGGAAAATATGAAGACAATATGAAATGAAAGAAACCCAAAAAAAAGGATGAAATACCAAACTTTCGTTCAAATCAAGAAACACAAATAAAACATTTTGGACGAAAATTTAACTACTTTGAACATAATATTCAAGGAGAATAAGTGAACAAAAAGTTTCGAACGAAAACAGGAAAAAGAAGAGAAAAAAACCATTTTCAACCTTGTCTAGCCTGCAAAGAACCTCCTTCTACTCACAGCCCCTTCTTGACTCTCTCGTACACTGTTAACATCTTGCAAAAACTGAAAATCCACAAAAAGAAAATAAATGAAAATCACCACAATCTCAGCTAAAAACACCAAATGAACTAATGCTTTCTAATTGAACACATTGTAGTCCATCGTTAAACCCAAGAAAAAGGTCAAATTATGATCAAATAAATCCTGCATATTTTCCTTATGACAGAATAGTAGGAACAATTAGGCGAGAACAGCAAAAAACAACCAAAACTCACTTGAAAACAACAAAATACAACCAAAAATCACTTGAAACACATGGTTCATGTATAGTATCATACATAATCAATCACCAGCTAATCCAATTCCTAACCATAGTTACTCAAAACTTAAATATAATAAGAGATATATCAAGACAATTAAATAAATAAATCTGACGGTCCTGCATAGTTGCGTGTGGAATACATAGATTGGACGGGCACGGGTAATCGGGGAGACCACTACGCATATGACAAAAGCAGCTCCACTACACATTTTCTTCACTAAAACACTCCCTCCCTCCCTTACAAGCGAACATTAACAAAATCCTCAAACTTAGTGAACTGATAAATGGATAACAACACGATATGAATTGTATTTGTTCTCCTTCTCTTAAAAGGGAGTATTAACAAAATCCTCAAACTTAGTAAACTGCTTAGTGAACGGCCACACAAATTTCCCACACAGATTCTACAGAATATATGTACATACATATACATTCATATATACTACATATACATTCCTATATATACTTATATATACTTATACATTAAAAGTAGCAACTTCTAAGCTAATTACTTCTCAAAGTCTCAAACTTTCATACATTTATGTGTGTGTACATACATACATATACATATATATACATACATATACATAGAGAGAGAGAGAGAGAGAGAGAGAGAGAGAGAGAGAGAGATTACTCGTCCAGCACCTCGCCAAGATCAGAAGCAGAAATTGTATCTGTGAATTCCAACCAAGATCAGAAAAACGCAGGCAAAGATACACATATGGTGTATCCTTGATTATATGACTGGTCAATTATATTTGAGTATCCTATTGTCCCATTATAAAAATTGATTGCACACAGAAGCAGGCGGATATTTTTCAATGGTTTTAGGCAAAACTAAAGATTACCCATTATAAATGATTGCTTATAAGTATCCCTTTAAAATCATGAATTAATTTTATTAAACTTTTTTTGTTGGTTATTTTGTCTTCACCTTCCAGCTTGCATCGCAAAGCTTCATAGTTGGTGCTATTGCTTTAAGTCTAAAAAATTGATGAAAACATAAGTAAATCCGAAATTGAATGCGGTGAAAGTGACAAAACCAAAACCAACTCAGCAACTGCAAGTCAGAAGTGAAAAAGTGGGAATGGTGTGCCATGTTTTAGTGTTCTGACACATTTTGTTAACCCTTTTCAAAGCATGAAGGTAATAGATTTTCAATTATGAATTTCCTCTAAGCAAGCTGATGATTGTGCACCTTTGGAACAAAGACAATCCTATATTTCCTCTATTTGGTTTTTTATATGTTTTTGTTCACCCTTTTCATGAACCAGTGTAGGAGTGAAGCTTTCCTTACAACTGCTCAGACCGTAGGCAAAAGAACACCATTAGAAGTATGTTCCTGTAGGGAACATGCATGTGATGTGAATGTGATGTTTATATGTGTAACCATGTCTGAATGCATGATACTCGTCTCCTTTGACTAAATGAAAAAGGAAACACGAAAAAACAAGAATAAATACAAATGCACTGTAACACTGCTACAGTTGGGTAAATATACTGCATCAGAACTAGCAAGAACCTTTGCATAATTCCTAAAACGAAGAAAGCAACTTACACAGAGAGGAATCAAGGAAACTGCGACGGACATTTAGCCTCAATTAAAGGGACCTAAACAAGCTTTATGCCATGATATATTTGCCTAATCTGCATAATAGCATATAAATGGTATATGAAATACTTAATACCTTAAGTGGCACAAACTGAATGAATCCAGATAGAAAAATATGTATATATGTATGGTTTTTGTTTGAGACAAATATCAATGGTATCTCCTGAACTGAAACTCCAATGACTTCAGCTACTTCTCCTCATAAAAAAACTAACATCATATATATGCTATCCAAATGCATAGGCTCTTCAAGCGAGTTTTAACATAAGATTATAATGTACATCCTTGATGCAAGATGACTAATTGGCTTAAAAATCCTACACTGCCAGCCACTGATGCAGCACCTAATAGATGCCATCGTGCCATGCCAAAAGAGAAAAGGTTATCACTATAACTATACTGTATACTCAAAATGAAATGATCAAGGATTTCATTGGGTTAAGAAAAGAAAGAAAAGAAAAATGGAAAACACAAGTGTCGAATTAGAATAATTTAATGGCAAGTATATCCGGAATACCATATATTATCCTGGAGCTCGTTCAGATGAATGAGAAGTGCAATCAGATGCCCTATCTGTCAGCTGTCATAAAACTCCATAATCAATGTAGACAAAGCACAAAACCAACTATTATGAAATTTTAGAGGTCAACATATATATATAAAGATATTTCACAAAAAAAGTTAAATAAACTAAACTATCAGTCGTTATCCTTCATAAGCCCACACAGCAAAGCCACTCACTAGGCTCTTACAGAAGACAGCATAAACATCTCAATTTCAGTAAGACAACACTCTGGAAAACGTATCAACTACATCCTACTACTAAATTAAGAAAGAAAAAGAGGATGTTTGCTGCAAATTCACAATCAGATGATGTACAGACACATCTAAATAACACTAAGTTAGTCATGTATATATTTGACATGAGTTCAACCAACCCAAACCCTCCACAAACTCAGTCCCCTACTTGTCAAGATGTGAACAGAGCAGTGGGGTAAACACAAAAGTAACTTCTGGTGAAGGACTGACAAGAACAAATATCTTAGCAAAAAGACAAGGACAAGAAAGCATCTAGATGGTCCTGAATATATAGTAAGAAACTAAAGGCAGTCATATCAACAAAACACAAACCACCAGAAGCACAAACCTACAAACTCACACCATAACAAATATGAGTGCCACCAGAAACATGTGCAGGTAAACTCACACCACAACAAAAAATAATGTTCAGAATAATAAAGTGACACAATACTATTGAACGAAAAAGAACCAAAAGCACAACCCGACAAGTTACTATTATGTTTAACAACAATGCCTTGACACAAAATAAAGAGCACAAAATACACTACTTACAGTATCAGACTGATCGATGCGATATCTACTATCTTCTTTAAAAATCGAACTCTTGCTAGAACTACTACTGGACTGTCCAATGAGGAAGAAGATACATCAAGTAATGCATCCAAGGCCTGGAGAAGCATATCATTAGATTATAACAGAAAACCTAGTAGGTTCAAATAGGAATTTTCTTTTAGATCGAACAAAATTTCCATAATGCTCATGCCACCTGGCGAATGTTCCATAAAAATCTTAAGCACTCAGTGAAACAATATAGAAACTCTATACAAGCTAGCCACAACAAACTCATCTTCAAACCAACATATGCAAGCACTTAGAAGAATATGAAATCAAAGAAACATATCATATATAACAAGAAAGGAATTTACAAATTACTATAAGAAAGGAAATTCACAATTGGTCAAAAATTTCTTACAGATAGATATTCAAAATATATTTTCTAATTGTTGAACCAATATGTGATGTCGTCTAATTGTTGATTGCATATATTCTCCAAACCACTTGAGTTCATAGCCTCTACCTGTAGGGTTTCGCCCATATGAGGCAGCTCCTGTGACAATGGTGGTGTTCCCAACAATGCATCCATGCCGATAGCAAATTCTTCATCAGTAACACAACCATAGTCGAACGGATCATCGATGTTATCTTGATCATCACCACAAAGATAATTTGAAATCGCATTATAATTAATGTCGAATATCAACTCTTGATCATGATTATTTACGACGCTACTTAGGCTAGAAGATGTCTGTGGTTCCTCAGCATCAATCTTGACCGTTGCCGATGCCAATTCTTTTCTTGCCTTCTTGTTTGAGGGTTTCTCCTTAAATTCTTGAGTTGAATTATTCCTCTTGTTCGAAACCCTGCTGTTCTTTTTAAGTCGGCAGAGCACAATCTTCTGCGCCTCTTTATCAAGAAGACTGTATTCTTCTAGTAGCCACTTGCCGTGGTGCTCGCACCCTTGGTTCTCGTAGCGCAAATTCCTTTTTTGGCCGATAGGGTTTCCGGTCGTCTTGTCGTAAACCTTTTTCGAGAAGGCTTCGCTCCAAGTACCTCCGGCCTCAATCTTGCGTTTGATTCGCTTACCCTTTTGGCTTAAATTCTTGAGTTGGGTGAAGAAATATAGGTCTTCGTCGACCAGGCCAGGCCCTCCGAACTGATCCCAGACCACCCAGGGCTCTGTTTCGCCCAAGAAATTGAACTCATGCACAAAGTTGCTGTAATACGACGCCATTAATGGATCCTTGGTTATCGCTTTCTTGTAGAGGAAGTAACTGAGGAGTTCTTGATCTGTAGGGCGAAACCTAAAACCCAACAGCCGATTATACTTAGCCATTGTTAACCCAACAGCCGTTTGCTTTCTTTTTCTCTCTCTCTCGCTCTCTCTGCTTTCTCTCTCTGTTTTGCTTTAATCTTTGATGGGAAACGAGAAAGAAAGAAAGAAAGACTGAGTTTGCTTGTGACTTGAACTGATTTATAGCCTCGGTGGTCTCAAGTGTTTGACCTCACTACCCAGCTGTTGGATGTAATCTCATCCAACGGACAGCTGTCTTCCAATATCCAACCGTTGTTTCTTAACTAATTTTGTCACTTAGCTACATACGGGTCGCTTTCAAAAGTTTTCAAAAAATATTTAAAAAAAAGTTTTGGAGCACATTTTTTAGTTTTTATTTTTATCACTTTATTATATTACAGGTTTACTGTCAAAGTGTTCACGGATTCTGCTGGTTCCAGTAAGGCTTAGTTTGGTATTGCTGTGCTTTTAAAAAAAATTGCTTCTGCTGTGCTGCGAAAATAAACAGCTGTAAAATGAAGCAGCTAAGTGTTTGGTAATATTAAGAAGACTGTATTCTTCTAGTAGCCACTTGCCGTGGTACTCGCACCCTTGGTTCTCGTAGCGCAAATTCCTTTTTTGGCCGATAGGGTTTCCGGTCGTCTTGTCGTAAACCTTTTTCGAGAAGGCTTCGCTCCAAGTACCTCCGGCCTCAATCTTGCGTTTGATTCGCTTACCATTTTGGCTTAAATTCTTGAGTTGGGTGAAGAAATATAGGTCTTCGTCGACCAGGCCAGGCCCTCCGAACTGATCCCAGACCACCCAGGGCTCTGTTTCGCCCAAGAAATTGAACTCATGCACAAAGTTGCTGTAATACGACGCCATTAATGGATCCTTGGTTATCGCTTTCTTGTAGAGGAAGTAACTGAGGAGTTCTTGATCTGTAGGGCGAAACCTAAAACCCAACAGCCGATTATACTTAGCCATTGTTAACCCAACAGCCGTTTGCTTTCTTTTTCTCTCTCTCTCGCTCTCTCTGCTTTCTCTCTCTGTTTTGCTTTAATCTTTGATGGGAAACGAGAAAGAAAGAAAGAAAGACTGAGTTTGCTTGTGACTTGAACTGATTTATAGCCTCGGTGGTCTCAAGTGTTTGACCTCACTACCCAGCTGTTGGATGTAATCTCATCCAACGGACAGCTGTCTTCCAATATCCAACCGTTGTTTCTTAACTAATTTTGTCACTTAGCTACATACGGGTCGCTTTCAAAAGTTTTCAAAAAATATTTAAAAAAAAGTTTTGGAGCACATTTTTTAGTTTTTATTTTTATCACTTTATTATATTACAGGTTTACTGTCAAAGTGTTCACGGATTCTGCTGGTTCCAGTAAGGCTTAGTTTGGTATTGCTGTGCTTTTAAAAAAAACTGCTTCTGCTGTGCTGCGAAAATAAACAGCTGTAAAATGAAGCAGCTAAGTGTTTGGTAATATGTATTTGTAAAAGTGTTTTGAGTATGAAAAATAGTATCAAAGTGTTTGGTAAACTTTTATATGGAAGTGCTGTGAGAGTGTATAATGACGAAAAAGGGTAGGATGATAAAAGTTTTAAAAAATAAATAAAAAAATGTATAATTTAAGTTAACAAATAAAAAAAAATTCAAAAGCAGCCGACACCTTTCTTTTTTTCTTTTTTCTCATTTTTATTTGTTTCTTCCTCTTCACTTCCTTTCTTTCTTCTTCCTCCCGTCCCAGTTTTTTTCTTTTCTTCCTCTTTTCCTCTTCCTTCCCAGGCCCCCCATCTCTCAACCTTTTTACCTTTCCTCTTCTCCTCCTTTCTCTTTTCTTCTTCCTTCCAAGACTTCTTCCCTTCCCATGTTTTTTTTTTATTTCTTCCTCTTTACTTCTACCTTCCCAGCAATCCCCGCCCTTTTTTTTAAAAAATTTTATAAATTTCTTCGTCTTTTCTTCTACATGCCCACCTCTTGGGGGTTTGATTTTCTTTTGCTGAAGGAGATAATTGGTTGGTAATCTGGGTGTTGAATTTTTTGTTGCCGTAGAGATGATAAACTGTGGAGCTAAGGTTGAGGTTTTTTTTAGTTGGAGGGGAAGAAGATATTCTAGGTCTGTAAAATAGGGAGGTGGGTTGGTGGGGTTTTGGGTTGAGATGGTAGCTTTGAAGGATTGAGGAAGAGGAGCAAGTTGGGCGAAGAGGATGAGGCGAGCAATCCAGAAAATCCAAGAGGAACGACACTTGGGAGGTTCGAACTCGGGATGATGAGGATATAGCATGTCATTGTGTGAAACAAATAAGGGCAATATGGGCAATTTGAAAATTTCATTTAAACCTCCGCATGCTTCTCCTCGCAGCAGTTTTCAGAATCAGCTCCCCACCTGCTTCTGTTTTTCAGCTTTGAATGACAGCAACTTATTAAATAAGCAGCTTGGATTTGTTTTACCAAACACCCAAATTCCCAAAACTTCTTTTCAAAGCTGCTTTTTTTTTAAGTTAAGCAATACCAAACTAAGCCTAAGTTTCTTAACTAATTTTGTCACTTAGCTACATACTAAAACAAGATACTGTGATTTTTGTAAATAGTACTTTTGACACATGGGCACTAATTGCTAGTAGGGCGCTGGGCGCTGGGCGCTAGGCGCTTGGCGGGCCTTTTTTTTTCTAGGTAAATAGTACAAACGGTCTGCTACACTCTGGATTTTTTTTTTAAAATAAACAAGAAACTCTGATTTTTGTAATTTTTTTACAAATAGCATAGCGGTGCGGCTGTACTCTATTGTCACCTTTGGAGTTTTTTACTTTTCCAGAGTTATTACCCGAACAAAGAATGTAGCATTTTCACGTTTACTACTCTCATTTTATACGTACGTACTTATTTTTCATGTTTAATACACTTGGTTTTCAAAAAATACACACAAAATTCAAGTATTATGCACATAATTTTAGCATATGAGGGAATAAAAATAATTTATGTTAAAAAATTTAAATCCAGAAAGTTTATATATGAAAACCGGGAAATTAATATCATAAAGTACAAACAAACAAAACTAGAAGGGTCCTTTTCTTATAAGGTTTTTTAAATAAATAGTATAGCCGCCCGGCTATACTAGTTTTGACACATGGGCACAAATCGCTAGGCGGTCGCTAGGCGGCCCTTTTTCTTTTTGGTAAATAGTACGGCCGGGCAGCTATACTCTGCGACCTTTGTAATTTTTTTTATAAATAGTATAGCCGTGCGGCTGTATGCTTTACATAGATACTGTGATTTTTTTTAAAAATTGTTTTCCCCCTATTTTGGTTTATCGGTAGTTTAGAGCATTCTCCATTACTATTAGAAGATTAACCAAGTCTCTATGGTCCCCTTTGGAGTTTTTTACTTTTCCAGAGTTATAACCCGGACAAAGAATATAGCATTATCACGTTTAATACTCACATTTTATACGTACGTACCTATTTTTCATATTTAATACACTTGATTTTTACAAAATACACACAAAATGCATGTGTTATACACATAATTTTAGCATATGATTGAATAAAAATAATTTATATTAAAAAATTTAAATCTAGAAAGTATGAATATGAAAACAGGGAAATTAATATCATAGAGTATAAACAAACGAAACTAGAAGGGTCCTTTTCTTG